TATATTATAATGGAGAGATATAAAAAATTTTTTAGATTTTTTATTAATATAATAGATCAGTTTCTGGAATTTTTTTATGACAAATTAGTATAGTACAATATATAAACTTTTCTGGGATTTATTTAAATAACAATAGATATGATAAAATTTTTGGTGATTTTTTTTTTAGTAGCAATAGATTGGTAATAGACAATTATTACTGTGACCAAAACTGATCTGATTTACCAATTCATTATCAGTTCAGTTTTTAATGTTTTCACAACATTTTTTATTGTCTATTACCAATCTATTGTTACTAAAAAAAATAATCACCAAAAATTTATCATACCTATTGTTATTAAAATAAATCTCAGAAAATTTTTTTATTAACCTTATTAAATGTAATCTATTGTTATAAAAATCTTTCATTTATATTACTTACTAGTAATATTAGTGTTACTGTGAACTATAAAAAAATCTTACTAAAAAACAATTATTAACAAGTTAATTGTCTATTATCAACATATTGTTATTAAAAAAAAATCCCAGAAAATTTTTTTATACCAAACTATTACTAAAAAGAAATCTCATTAAATTTTTTATAAATCTCACTAAACACAATCTATTGTTATAAAAAAATCTTTTATTAATTTATTAGCAGTATTAGTATAAAACTCACTCACTATATCCAAAAGTACACTAGTTTCTGATTGAAAAGATTCATCTGGCATATTTTGATAATATAAATTCATTTCTCTTATTTTAATTCCAAGTGTATTAATATCAGGTCTTTTTGATGAATCAGCATCCCAACATTCTTCTATTAAATTCTTATATTCAACAGGAGTTCCTGATACTATTCTTGGCCTTATACCATTGATTATATTCATTGCAAGATTATAATCATGTTCATAATTAATAAATGGTGGTTGTTCAGATGTAATTTCCCACATAAGTATTGCAACACTATAGATATCAGATGCTTCTGTAGTTTGTTTCCCAGAAATAACCTTAGGTGCCAAATAAGGAAGATTTCCATATACACTTTTTGATGATTTATCAGCAGGTCCACAAAATCCAAGATCACTAATATACCAATTACTACTACGTCGTGAATACAATATATTTCCAGAATGCAAATCTCTATGAATTAAATTCTCAAAATGAATAAAATTAAGTGCCCTAACTATTTCAAAAGCTATATTGATTTTTTGTTTCCACTGTGATTCTGTTGTAAAAATTCTTTTAAACTTATGTCCATTTTAAACATTACAAGCATATAATTTCCATTTGATATATCTTGTGTTAAACCATAACACTGGACTATTTCCGCATGTTTATTACTTATAGTTAGATGTGATTTAGCCTAAAAATATTTAAGATTGAATATTAATATACAGTAGAACTTGTTAACTATTATTTCTTCAAAAATAATACATTTAGATTACAAACCTCTTCAAACCAACTTTGATTCGCACTTTCAACATTTTCTAATTTTTTAAGTATTACATTATGTCTTCCAAATCTTTTTAATTGCTGTTTTTTAAAATCCCATTCTTCATATCTTCCATCAACCCAAACCGCTGTATAAATTTCAGAAAACTCACCTTTTGTTAAATACTTGATATTCTGTAAATTATTATATGGAATCCATTCGATTATAGTACCTGGTTCAAATGTTTCAATTTGACATTTCTGGATTAAATTATCAATATTAACATTTCCAGATGTCCAATTTGAAAATTTCTCTTTTAAATAATTTCGAACACAAAATTCACAATATAATGTAGCTAAACATTTTTGATTACAATTTTCACAAATTCTTCTTGTTCCTGAATTTCCAAGAATTTTATTTCGATCATAACTGGTAGTTATCCAATTTATTGCATAATTTTTTTCATCTTTTGTAAGAGAATTATCAGCAAGAAGTGTTTGTTTTCTAAATTCATATCGTTTGTGTATATCATTATGGATATTATTATTTATTAATGCAAGTGACCTATTCATTGCTGCATGAACAAGTTCTTTTCGAATTACAGACATTAAATTATTTAAAAAAGAGCTTAGAAAGGAAAAGGATTTTTATAAATTTGAAAGCTATAAAAATTGTGGCGAGAAAAAAGAGAAATAAGCTTAATGAAGTTTTGTGTCCAAAATTATTAGTAATGATTTACAGTCTTATAATGTAGTGCAACTTACTAATATGGTTCTAGTAGTATCTGCATTCATGTTACACATGTTACATACATCACGAGATGAAATTGTCACGTTATGTTTAACGTTGAAAAAAAAAATAATAATTTCTTAGTATTAAGTGATACATACAAGTAAACTTATCACCAAGAGAATTTATTGGTTTCATTAGATTGAATAAAAAGAAAACAGGCGTAAATAATTGTTGAACTTACAAAATAAATTACTGGACTTTACTATGCCATTGGAGCTGGAATTTAAGCAATGGAATCAGAGCCTCAGAGGAATATTAACCTGGTAAGTAATGAATAGTAATTTAGGTTATTATAATAAAAAAATAAGCGATTAACTTAAAATATGGTAATGTTTTTTAAAAGAATAAAAATATTAATTAAGCCATATTAAATTAAAATATACATAATATACACGAAGAAAAAAAAAATTTATTAGATAAAAATTTATAAACTTACACATGACTCTAAATAATTTATACTATATATTTCAGTATAACAATATCGATAGCGATAAAGAATGAAAAAAGAAAAAAATTGGTTCAATGTAAAAATAATTTATTTGGTTCTCTATAATTATTAAAATATTAATAAAAAATAATTTACGTGGTACCTGACAAGGGGAAATTGTTAATATTTTATGTTTTAAAAACAGTTAAATTCATGGGCGTGAAAGCGTATACAGTTTATTCTAATTTTTTATTAGTTTAACAGTATCCAAAATCAATTTAGGAACCGTTAGTAGGAGGTAATAAGAATGCTGCTGATAACATAATAATCTTGTGGACTACTTTGTTATTTACTTCTCGTTGCTATTTTTTTCATTACAATATTATTCAATAATTAAATATTTCATCGAATTTATTATATATCTTAATTTACATTATAATTTTCATCGCAATTTTTTTGATTTGACAATTTGACTACGAAGGAAATTTTTGTAAGTACATTACGAGAAGCAAATTTTTCATTAATGTATCATCTAATCGAGTAGAAATACAAATATAATAAATATTCTTTCGATGATGACAGAGTAGAGCTCAAGTTGATTCATTCCATTAATCATTGTAATAACGTGCATAAAATCCTGATTTTGCAGTAAACACGCAATAATGATTGATTAGACTTTAAGGCTTGTAAGGATATATTCAAACTTTGGGTTTAATTAATACAAAGGAAAATATAATACTATTTTTTTTGGAAAAACTTATATTTAATTAATAAATGACGATACTGTAGTTAATTTTAATGGAATTATTATCGCAGAATGTAGAGTTTAATTTTTTTAAAAAAAACAATATTAATTCCTTGACCAGAATCACTTATTAAAATTATGTTAATAAGAGTTACGTAAAATTAGGTGGAGTACGATGTTATAACACTAATATAATCAAAAGAAAATAAGAAACTTCATTAGCCACTTTCACCCAACCATCGGTTATCCTCAGGCCGGCCTCACTTGTAAAAATTACCACCAAACTAAGTATCGGAATCCGAATATAATTAATCTTTATATTTGATGTGGTATCACGTGAGCAGTTTCGTACGACATTGAAAAAATTTTTTTTATATGAAAGGGTTTTCATATAAAAAAAAAATTTTTTTAACGGTTTACGTTCAGGTTTTTTTTTGTGAAACTAAAAAATAAAATATTATTGGCAAGTTTCACTCATTCTTTATTATAAAATAAAACACACTTTCTTTTACTAACACTACAATATAAACTTGCAAATCACAACGAGAATCACACTTTAAGTACTGAAGTAGCTTAATCAAGATTGTTCTTCAGGGAATGGGACGTATTATAAGCGAGGATTTGAGGTAGAGGGTAGTGTATTTATTTTGTGACGGCTATAATTTACAAGAAATTTTACAACTGCTAAGAATCAGTATGGATATGCGTAACAAATCCATTTTTGCAAGTAGAAAGGAGAAAAATTTTAGTGGATCTGATATGAAGGTTGGTTATTATAATTATGTTATAAATAATAATTTTAAAATAAATTTTAACGTTAGTCTCGCTATTTTATTTTTTAGATTTACAAGAAATTATTAAAGAATGTCCTAATTATTTGGATGAAATTGTTGGAGAGATGATTAATAAAACTCTATACCACTCACTTTATGGAGATCTTTAAAATATTGTGGAATAACAAGAAAGAAGGTTAAGTATATATCGTATTTATCGTATATTTTAATTATTATTTATTAGAATTACTAATCAGTCTATTATTACTATTTTTAAAATCTAGTTGGAAAAAGCCGCAAAGAAAGGAGTGAATTGCTAAAATCTGATTATATATTTACTATTGGCACAGAATATCAAGAAAAACAATTGATTTTTTTGGATGATACTGCTAAATATGAAAGATCTTTATCACGAACTTATGGATATTCATTTAGTATGTCAAAAAGTAGTTTTTTGAGATGCGTTAGGTATACTATTTTACCTGCACTTACTTTAGATGGATTTATTGCATGTGATATTATGAGATGTAGCTGTTCTAAAGAGAGATATTGTTCTTTTGTTTATCGTTTTATCTCAAATTGTAAGTATTTTTTTATTTTCGCGTTCGTACAACTTTGCGATCATGTTTGTGATCACGCTACGTTTGTAAGTGTATAGTTTTTTTGATGATTTAATTTCAGTATTGCTAATTTCTAGTTATTTTAATTTTATTTTAATTTTATAATTACCTTTTATGAATCCTTACCCTGGAAAGACCAGTGTATTAGTGATGGATAACGCTAAATACACCATGATGAAGAATTGATCAATGTAATTAAAAAATGTTGGTTGTAGAATATTATTTCTTCCTCTATACTCTCCTGATAGAATTAGCATTTCTACAGTAAATAGCTGGATTAAAAGAAATAAGGATTTTATGGAAACCTGTCCTGATCCTGAATTTGCTATTATAGCAGCATTTTCACAGATAACGCCTATGATAGCGAAATCTTATTTTAAAAAATCAATTTACTTTCAATAAAAATAAATATAGAAAAGATTTTAAATTAATTATAGGCGAAAATTTTTATTAGATACCTCATTTATTTGCAAAGAGCAAAGGATACATAATAAAGTGATCATTGATTTGAAAAAAAAAATTTATCACATTTTGTTAATAAACCAGCTATTATGCGTAATTTTTACTAATTTTTTTCTAATACCCATACTATTGATGCCTAATTTATTATGTTTTGGACTCTTTAGTCTATTTCATAATATTTAGTTTCACATTTCAGTTAATTTTTATAGGGTTTTTTTAGCAACTTCTGCTTATCAAATATCAAGATCTTATTCAAATTCTCAGACATTCTTCACCTTGGTCTTTTAGGTCCATTCCCTCAATTCATGATTGTCATCTTCATGTTCCTTAAATTGTACATATTGTACATGTTCAATTCTTATTCATGGTACCATTAACCAAAATGCAAACCAATGTCTTTTCACAAGCTTTTACATTGTTTGATCTCTGCTTCCTATACAATTAATTTGTGAAGCATAATATTTTCCTTCCTTCCTTTAACATTAATGTCTGACCTATATAATTTCTTCCTAAAATTTCTATAGACCTAAACTCTGGATATCCAAAAATAGCCCAATTCATCTGCCCAAAGTATTACCATTTGTTGGACCAGCATCCAAAAAGAGCTATTAAGCCAAAATTCAAACGTCCAGAAAGAGAAGAACATCCAAGATCAACTACCAATCACTAGAGTAATAAGCTCTATTTTTTTTTACTACATTTTTTCCGTGAAATCACATGAGATCAGGGCTTTAAGCAGGCCTCAGAATGTAAGATATTAAATTGCCGCTTTTTATTTAAGTACTAAGTTTCTTTACACAGAGATATTGTCATTTTGAAAATTAGAGAAACTGAAATATCTTCATCTAAGCTTTTTATGAGAGGTAATAAATACGTTTCTAATTATATACTTCTGTGATTTTCTTAACTAGAAACCAGAATTATTTTTAATAAAACAGCTCAAATTATTGTTCTATTATTACCAAAATTTACTGTAGAGATTAAGCAATTTACATCATATTATTCATGGATTCATCACTTCAAATTCCAGAATTTTGTGCTCTTGACACCATTTTAGGAATTTTTCCATCATTTTTTTTAAAAAAAAATTTAGAATTTTAAAAGAAATTAAGAACTGATTATGAATATTTAAGTTTTTTAAATTTAGAAAAAAAGGGTTAAACTGTAAAAAAAATTTCTTTGATTTTTTTTTTGTTTTAAGGCGAATTTTTCCATTTCCTGATTTGAGATTCTGTTGAATTTGAATTAATTATTTTTAAATTAAGTTCGCTAGTATGCCCAAGCAGTTGTAAAATGTTTATTAATATTAAAATATATGAGTAGCAAATCAGTGTTATATATATAAGTTGAATATTATAATTTATTGCAACATAATAATAAATTATCTTATTATATTAAAAAATCTGTTAATTAAATTCTAAACATTAATCGGGTTTGTTGCAAATATCTAGAAAATGTTAACAATGCAAAATAAGCACATAAATTTATTACACTGACTGGAAACAAATTTGGGAAACAATGTTCTATTTAATACTATATGTTATTACATTATTGAGGAAATGAAAGTGATATAAATGTAGAATTTGTATTATTATTAGTCAGGTCTATTCTTATTTTCAATATACTTTCTTTATAATAAATTTGATTATTTGTATCTTTAAAAGTTTGTTAAATATCAAAGTTTATTTGTGTTTTTATTCCAATATATATAATATTAAAATTAAACATTTAATAATTCTTCTATTTTTTTCGGTCAGCAGTGTAAATGCACATCTCATCCAGGAGTGACCAGGACCAATGACACTAAAACATGAAGGCTTGAGTTACTATTGCTCAATGTATTAAGAGGTGTATTTATATTAATTATATTGAATTATGATATTAATTTACATCATCTATGTAACTGAAAATAACATCAAAGGAGTATTGAATTTAAAGCATCATTTACATTTGACCAAATTACCTTAAATAATTTACCCACTAGTGCACTTAGTCTTTTTTTTCTCATAATTGATTACTTTAGTATTTAAAAAAAATATTGGCTGATAATTAATATATTAAGCTTTATATGCTGATATGTGTGGCAATAATTTCTTTTTTTTATTCATAATTTTAAGTGAAATTGCAGTATTAATTTTCTCACATTCTATTTTAATATTAATAAATTTGCTTTATTTTCTTATAATTTTATTATTTCATATAAATTAGATAATAATTGTTGTAATATATCCAAAATGTTATTTTACAAAGTGTAGGAAGTAGAGGAGAAAGATGAATCTGTCATGTCTTCATCAGTGTCATGCTTGTATAAGATAGCCGGTACTTGAAAATATTTACTGGCAGGAACTTTCCAATTAAATGTGGCTATTTCGTTATCCTTCTTTAGTTGACCTTGACTTTCTTTTTTACCAATTTTTGATAATTTGTTCAATTTTTTTCTTTAATATATATATTGTTTATATTGTTTATTGAAAATTCTAAGATTTCAGTTTTAATTCTGATGTTACCTACTAGTTAACAGTAGATTTTAAAAGTAATGCATGTGATTTTCTAGCTGTATCACCAGCATAAGACTTGGACACCTCTTTCATTAATAGAATATAATTGTTACAATGCTAATAAAGTTTATTGAGTTTTTGACCATGTTGTTTTATTAGAATATGATTCTGCAATATCATGTATTTAATTTTTAAATCTACATAAATCATGACTAAAATTTTAATGTTTTATGTTCCTTATTATAATCCTTTTAACAATTTATCAGCTTAATCCATTTTTTTTTTTTTAAGCATTATCAGCAAGGATTATCTGATTGATTTTCAGAATAATTATTAAGTAGATTCCAAAAAAACATATTTTCTATACACTAGTAGTTGAAATTGTGTGACTTAGGTATTGGTATTATTATAATTCAATTGATACTTGAAGATTTCAATGCTGCATAATGCATATAACTTCAGTTTGTAGAACAAAGTAAAAAATTTTAGCCATGTTGTCTTTAATGGATTTTTTTCCAATAATGCTTTGGATTAAATTTTATGTTGTATAATGATATTAGAAACATTAACTAAGCCACCTCAGGCCAGTAAAAAGAAAAATAGCTAAAGAATGGTTCAATATAAGGAATCAAATCAATTGATTCCTTAATCGACATAGCTTCCCTCTCATATTGTTACTTTTGAGTTAACCTCATGTAACTTAATAAATTCCAAGCATATGATTGGATTATGATCCTGGAAAGCAGTTTGACTTCAATCCTATACTTAGTGAGTTTGAGGATATTCCCATTGAATTGTTTGTTTTGATATAGATCCTAAAGGTGAGTGAGTTGAATTTAACAAATTTAATTGCTTTCATAAGTAGATTATCTGATTTGAGTCATTTAACTTTAAATAACACTTTAAATACATACACTGTATAGCATTGTATGTATTATTGAATTATATAATGTGAATATGTGATATTCTCAGGAAATCAAAAGCCCATACCAAAGAATAAGAATAATTAAAAGAATATAAAAATAATATATGAATAAAGAATAAATGATGAAGAGTGTAAAATAAATGCATTTGATTAATAAATTGTATACCAAGTACATCTACTATAGATGAAATATATTTCTATTTATACAGATTCCAAAAAATAAAATTCTCATTCTTTTTAAAAAAATCTTCACAATAATGTGGACGTGCTTCTTAGATTAAAAATGAACTTGGAAAGTATTCTGAAAATTTCCCATTAGAAGGATGGTCCCAAAGTAAAAGATTATCCAGATTTTTGATAAAAAGACCAGTGACCCTATATTTAGGTGGTATATTTGGGCAGATCCTGAACCCATGCCCATAATAAAAACAGGTATGGCAAGATGGAGACTGGTTTCTCATTACCTAGCACAAATTTCAGATTTTTATCATGGATATAAAGACTAAAATGAATGGAATTGATGAAGGACTGACGTTAAAAACAGTTTGACTTCTTTTTTCAGAAGTGTGATTCTATCTACCACTGTTAGATCGTACATCCATTCTTTATATACAATGTCCTGTTCGCCATTAGATTTAAATTAATTTAAACATATTTATTTAAGTTGTAAAAAAATTTGAGATAAAATTTACTAACTAAATGATATTTATATTAGATTTTATAAGGGAAATATTTGCACGATATTTTAAAAATAAAATTTGGTAATTAGCATTGAAATCTCTCTCACTCTTACAGAAAAAAAGATGTCCAAACCAAGTAATGACAAATTATATAGAGTTTATCTTCAATTAAAGTTAATGCTCCTGAGAAAATATAGGAGTTATGGCCAATAGGTGTTAAAATAAATCTATATAATTATTTATGAAAATTACTATAAACTCCTTTTTCACTAATAAAATATAATATGAAAATATAAATAAGAGTAGTTGTATATACTATTCATTATTCTTTTCAAGTTAATAAAATAAAAAGCATGTCAATGATTCCATCTTACTAACGCATGAATGATATGATCTTAAATTACTGTAACTAATCCACCAAGGTGTAAGTACAAGTGATGGAATAAGATCATATATTATAACACTATTAATAATATAGCCCCTGAATAATGAATTGGGTGCATCTTCATTCTTCAATAAAGATATTTATGTCTTTCATTATTTTTTTTGCCTTAATGTGATTAATTTTCTCTTTCTGGATTCACTAGTGGGCTGGCTGGCTTACTAAACATGTTTTGGATAAGTTTAACTGATTTCATGTAATATGTAAGATTTTATTTCTCTATATTTAGAGCATAAACTCTAATAAATACTAAATACTTAATACTAAATTATTAAGCTTTCTTCAGTTTACATCTTTTATAAGTTTAATATAATCCATCATTTTCTTCTCATCACAATTTTATTATATAACCTTTTTTGTAATGTGCAAATTAAATGTGAGCATTTAAAATAAGAGATTATACTTTTCCTTTATATCAGCTAAAGGTGAAAAATCAATATTAATGGGTAAATTGCTTCTGTAGGAAAAGTGTATTTAAGATCCATATTATTGATTTGTTCTGTTACACCCATAGATGAAAATAGGGTAACATGTATGCTGGATCTTCATCTTCAAAGGTCATCTTAACTTTAGATATAGCATCTAACTATTTTCCTGCCTTGCTGTCAATCATCTGTAGTGTCTGAATTATCATCTATAGAAATAATTTTTTGGTCCCAACCTTCCTGACATACTGCTTAATGACTGATTCTAATGACCAATCTTACTTAGCATATATTTAATAATAAAATATTATTTTTTTGACAAAATATAGGTATAAATAATTTCTAATAATACTTTATTCATGTAGTACTTTTTATATTCTTAGTAATTGCCAGCAGATAAATACAGTTATTTTATGTATTTCTTACATATAAAATTTCCTAAGAACGATTTTGATAAATGATCAATTTTTTTGGTTTTGATCAATTTCTAAAAAATTTTTTTAGGGCTTTAATATCCTTAATGGTTATATTATGAGCTAACATCTTGAGAAAATTTTATGACGTTTTCTTGATATATGTTTTATTCTCAAAATTGATATAGTTATTAAATTATTGTAAACACTTGTGCAATTAGCATTTCTTTAATTTCTGAAAGTTCTATGAGCTCTTATCCTATAATGGTAATAATAAAAGCTTTGTTACTCTATAAGAAAAAAAATTAAAATATTAATTTTTTAGAACTTTCCACCGGGATTTTAGACACATACATGCCTTTACTGTTTTCCAACTAACCTATTACATGTATCAGTAATTAAATGTTTACTTGTTGAAAAACACTGTTCTGATGGAACACTAGTTGAAGGGATTGCTAAATAATCTCTTGCCATATTAAAATTTTTCTTTAAAATATTCTGATAAGTGATCATTTTTTTAGTTTTGATCAATTTCCTAAAAAATTTTTTATAATACTATTGTGTAATTTTGTTCTATATCCAGTCAGATCTTTTCATTCAACAAACAATGTTGTTGATAGTAATTACTTCATATTTTGAATAAAAGAGTTATCTTCATAGTTTTTATTTGTTCTATTAATAAAAATATTTGAAGTTTTTAAATCTATAATAAGAAAATAATCAAATTCTAATATTAACTTTGTATAATTTGATTTTGCTGAATTGTGAAATATGTTGACATAGCTAATGTTATATTAAAAACACACTTTTTAGTCTTTGGTCAACAAAAAAATATATATATTCATTATTCTTTTTCAATGTTAATTATAACAATAAAAAACACGTTTAAATTAACATATTTATTATATGCCTTCATAGTTAAGAGAAGAAAGACATATTTAAAAACATGTTTAAGATCATGTTTAGATTAATATATTTTTATATGCCCTTCATAGTTAGAAGAAGAACATATTTAAAATCATGTTTAAAATTATGCTGAATTTAATATATTTTTATATGCCCTTCATAGTTAGAAGAAGAAGAACATATTTAAAAACATGTTTAAGATCATGTTTAAATTAACATATTTATATATGCCCTTCATAGTTAGAAGAAGAACATATTTAAAAATAAGTTTAAAATCATGTTTAAATTAATATAGTTATTATATGCCTTCATAGTTAGAAGAAGAAGTACATATTTGAAAAACATGTTTAAAATCATGTTTAAATTAATATAAAAGACATGTTTGAAATAATGATGTATTTTTATCAATTTTAATATTTTCATTGGCACCATTATATGGAATTAGCACTTTGGTAGTAATATATTTGTTTGAGATTTCTTTAAACAAATGATATTTTGCATTTCCAGAAAATTTTTTAATGAAAAAGTCCTTTTTTATAATAGTTTTTGAAAGGATAATTTGATGAATGTTTTTCAAATTTGTTCAGTTTTTTGGTTTGGAAAAATTTGAAATAAAGATGTTTTTTCTAATAAAAGAATGAATTTGAACATATTATTTAGAATTTCTTGGGTATTTTAGGATTTGAAAATGGGAAATATTGACATGATCATAAGCTTTGAATTGTTCCATGATGCTTTCCCTATTATTAGGTTGTAAAATAATAAGTTCTATCTAATTTATTATGCACTGTCCATCTATAGTAAATTTTCTGAGATCCTGCTAGGATTCATAGTTGGTGTACCATAAGGATTTTTCTGCACTCATTTAAATATGGAATGAGGACATTATAATCAACTGAAAGTAGGGTTCTTGAATATTAACTGAAGACATAATGTACTGATTTTCATTTCATGTTTTCATATGTTGTATGTGTTCATAAAAGACCTTAGAAAAATATCATCGTTATTTTCATTGTAAATTATTTTACAATTTACTACTTCTTTTAAACATAGTATAAGTATACTTGTAGTTTGTAATTTATTAATCTCAAAGAATATTAAATAGATTGATATATATGAAGTTTTGTGTTGAACATTAAATGTTTGGTTTATAAATCAAATATTGAATCCAATGCTAAATACTATGTATATATTTTATTTATCTATTTATTGATACTGATATCAAGTGTACAATAAAGTCATAAAGACTATTAATTATTTAAGAATTATTAAATCATGTTATCAGATTATAATAATAGATCATGTGATTTTATAGTTAAGGAATGAAAATGTGGAGAGAAAAATAAAATACTTAGGAAGAAAAGAATGTTCAATTTATATCAAAATTAGTATTGGTTTGTGTCATGTATTTTTAATCATTTAGTGACACCAAAAGAATTTTGCCACATATAATAATATCAAAGCCAAAGAATTATTGTAAAATAAAACCATAGCCACAAAATCACAATTCAATTTTTCTATCAAATTGTAATTAACATTATTTTATAATTTATGTTGCTAAAAAAAAAAAGGCTTAAATTAGTATTGTTTTGTGTCACGTATTTTTGATCATTCAGTGACACCAGTGACACTAAAAGAATTTTGCCACATATAACAAACGTCAAAGCCAAAGAATTATTGTAAAATAAAGCCATAGCCACAAAATCACAATTCAATTTTATTTATCAAATTGCAATCAAAATTATTTTATAATTTATGTTGCTAAAATAAAAGGTTTGTTAAAAATCAGCCTTATAAATTGAACCTTTTAATTATTCCATGAATAATCATATTAACTTTATTTCAGTAAAAATAATCATATAATAGTGCCATTTTAATATAAATAATATAAATCGAAATCAGAAAGCAAAGCTACCTATCCTTCTAAGCTCCTTCAAGTACGGCAACCAACAGCACACATACCACATACCATCCAGTAAAGACTGTATGACCAACCTGGATTAACCACACGCAACTGAGATTTTGTGCTACATTGATAAAATAAAAAAAATAAAAAGATAAAAATATGATACCTGGATAAATAAGATAAATAGATGGTAATTTTATCGCTCTGGACCCGTTTCCTAGTAATTATTAAACTATTATTAAACACACTTTTGTAAAATTAATTCCACTATTTGAAGAGAAATAATTCAGGCAGTTAATAAAGCATATACAACAATTGATTTTAATATTCACAAAGAAATTAAAGATGTTCATAAATAAGATGAATTTATACAACAATCAATTCTTGCTGAAAAATCTGAAGCAATAGGATTAAGTAATAAGGCTTATGAATGCAAAATAAAATTTTTTATAATGGGGGACTCTTCCTGACGATCTTTCGGACAAAAATTTTACGAAAGAAAAATTTTTAATTTTATTTACAAAACATATAACAAAATACATATTTTAAATAACAAATATGGAAGAAACTCTTAAACAATATTTGAACGAGTACTATAGAGGCTTTACAGGTTTCGAGTTGGAACATATAGAGGACTTCACAAAATGTTTAAAAGAATATAAAAAATTTAACTTAGAAGAATACGAAATTTCACACTTGGATAAAGATATGATATTTCCGCCAGGCGACATAAAAATTGGTGTCCGAGATGCAAGAACAACAAAAGGGAGCAATATATACAAAGATACTTTAATGGATATCGCAATCTTTACAATGAAAATGGGTGGCGAAAACGTTAAAAGAATCTTGGAAACAATCCTTCTAGAAAATTCTCAAGCAGGCACGACAACGGATAAAGAAGAAGGAACATTAACGGATAAAGAAGAAAAAGAAGAAAATAAAAAAAATTTTTTAAGACATTATCTATTACTTTTTTATAAAGACCTTAAAGGATTTGAAGAAAATCATCTAGATGATTTTACAAACGCTACAAGAAGGAATAGCAGAGTTAATTTAGCAGAATATGAATTAAAGTTTATGGAAAGAGATTTAATATTTCAACCAGGAGAAATGGGAGAAGGCATTATAAATGGAAAAAGAAAAACGGGTAACGATATTATCAAAGATAATTTAATGGATTTCGCTACTTTTACAATGAAATTGGCTGCGGATACCACCAAAAAAATTTTGGAAATAGTATTCAATACCCTTCAGTCCCGAAACAGAGAAAAAAAGGCCGCAGTAGAAGAATTACAACAAATCAGGAACGAATCAAATTCTATGAGGGCTAAATACAATGAATACAAAGAAAAGATAGACAATTTAGAAAAGGAAAAAAAGATGGCTGAAGAACGAATAAGAAATTTAGAAAATGACATGCTAAATTTAAAAAATTCAGAGAAGAAATCATTAACGAGTGAGATTTCCACATCCAGTAAGCCGAAAAGTAAGACAAGAAGCCATGATCGACGCAGAAAATCAAAAAAAAGAAATCATCTACACAAGACATTAAAAAAGGGAAGATCACCGAAATTCCGGTTCAAACAACTTCCGATGATGATTATCGGAAAAAACATTTTTCCGAAAGATCACGTGACCTAAAATTTTACGATTTTCCAGCCTATTGGAAGGATAATGAAATCTATGATTCGCTAAAACAAATAGGATGTATAGAAAGATTAGAGTGTAAATGGAACTACAAATATAGGACTGTTCGAGCTAGAATTCGCCTCACAACAGAAATGGAGGAAATCTTCATCAAAGGTGGACCTAATATAGCGATCAAGAAAAAAGAGCAGACTTATTTTTTAGGATGTTTGACGCGAAAATGAGTACTACTGAAATCAAGAAAAAATATGAATGGCAAGCATATAAAAAATTTAATGATTTACCAGGGAGACCAGAACACGAGGGATTAAAAGAAGAAAACTTAAAATATGGTAGACTTTTTTCAAAAATTATCAAAATAAACAAAATTAAATACATTTTGATATATTTTAACAATGAAAAGGATTTAATGAAAGCAATTTACAACTCAACGATGGAAGAAATAAACATGGAAAATGGCTTGAAGATTAAAAGTCAAGATGAATTGATCGCTGAAAATGGAACATACAAAAAACGTTTCAGCATTAATAAATTCGCTATTCCACAAAAATCAAAGGACGGATTTGTTGACGCAACCACTGACTTAATCTCAACGGTTCCAAGAACGACAGAAGAACATGACGAGTTAGATAATTTAAATAATAAATTTAAAGAAAGATTAGACGAATTAGAGACGACAACAGCCACGATACAAAGAAAGGGGAAAAAGAAAGCAACAGAGTTATTGGACGATGATGTTGAAGAAACAAAAAATGAAAACAAAAAGCGAGTAGTGCGAAAGCAGGGAGAAAGGGAAAATTCTGATACAGAATGAACAAATTATCCCCAAAATTCTTAACAATTTTGAAAATTTATTTTAGAAGAGCAATACTGGAATTTGATCGAGTTTTTACCTTCTTAATAACAGAGAATTTGTTACAAGAGTTAATTTGATATTTTCCGCGGTAGTATAGTTTTTCTTTTTAATTTCCAAAATAGAATTTTATTTTGCTTTAAAATTTTTTTTTTCGCTTTTAATGTATTTTTACTATTTAGTTTTTATTTGATATTTCTTCACAATTAAATTGATTGAATTAAAATCTGTCTCTTATACACATCTAGATGTGTATAAGAGACAGCCGAATAGTAGCGTAGTTTACAAACAATAGAATTATAGAATCGAACACAATATCTTAGTTTAGATTTTATATTAATAATTATAGATAGATAAATACTCAGTTATAGCTGTCTCTTATACACATCTAGATGTGTATAAGAGACAGATTTTAATATTCACAAAGAAATTAAAGATGTTCATAAATAAGATGAATTTATACAACAATCAATTCTTGCTGAAAAATCTGAAGCAATAGGATTAAGTAATAAGGCTTATGAATGCAAAATAAAATTTTTTATAATTCAGGAATAAGAAAATTTTGTGAAAATTGTAACTAAAAATGTTTAGCTACATTATCATATTGTGAATATTAAATTCAAAGTTATTTAAAAGAGGGAGTTAGTATTATAAAATGCAAAATATATGGTGTGATTTATTTTGAACTTATTCATTTCTAATAAAATCAGACATTTAAATTTATAAAAATTTTTAGTAGTGTCTTAATTTTATCATATCCTCAGAATTGTTATCTTTGTGCAGCATTGAGTGAAATTTAAATAATTTCATCAGAGGAGATTTTTTATGCAAATTATATGAAAAATTCTACATAAAATTTATATACGTTTCAAACAAATTTTATAATGTTTTAAATAAGTAGTATTTAATATTATTAATTATAAATTAAGTAATGTATTTATACAATAATTTATAGTTAAACTATTTTAAACAATTGATTAACACATGAAATTATAATCTATTTTGACGCACTTAAACTATTGATTTTTGTTCGTTCTTATTTGATTTTACTTTTTTTTTTGGATTATGTTTATTTTCCTTAATAGAAATATGACTTTTAAAATAACTATTATTATAAATAATTTATAAAAAGTTTAAGAAAAGGATGGTTATGTTATGTGATTGCAAGCTATTCATATTTTGTGCTAGCTTAGATTTAGATTGAAACATTAGTTTGTAAATTTTTCATGTTTTAATATAAAATGTTAGTATAATTTTTATAAATAAAATAAACAAGTATTCTTATTCCTATCACTATACAAATCAATGTGAAAATCATATATTGAATTTTATATTTAAATAATTAGTATATAAAATATTTACATAATATTTAATTAACTTAGTAATTCCATATCAAATTTAAATAAAATATATGTATATTATATAGGCTCTATAAAAAAAATTTAATTGTTGTAAATGGTCGAAAAAAATTATATTGCTTTTAAAAAATGTCTCTAACTGCTGATGTTATATCTACTATAAAAAATCATAATCACGTGTTAAATTATTAGAAATTGGATTGAGGGATATATAGATAGATTAATGAAAATTAAAGATGAATTTGACTATTATAAAATAATTGTATGTTATTGTACGAGCGTCATGCTTAATAATGATCTGATGTGGCACGGAAGTTATTATTTTCAATTGAAAGAGTATTCAAATGAATTATATTTTTTTTGTTTGTGATACAGTATATTTACATTGCACAGACTGATCCGCATTATATTTGCTGGTCACAACTCACAAGTGCAGTAAGATTTAAATTATAAGCATGTGAATTTTTTAAATTCTTTTTATTAAATGTGAAACTGGAGTTTGCATGATTTTTATTGATCGTTATTATAAAATAATAGTTTTATTATGCAAAATGAATTATTGTGAAATTTATATTTTTATTTTTAGTCTATTTAACAAATTATAAAATTTCTGATTAGATTTTTTTGTGGCTTACTGCATTATTGAGCGATCAGCGGAACTTTGACATAAGCCACAAATTTACTGGGGCTTGCGGTCAATTTTACAGAAAATTATGGTACTGTACGTATGATCATGTTTTATTTTATTATTAATAATTATATGCACTTTAGCTTAAAATCATAATAATAATAGATAATAATAAATGTTCTAATTAAACAGAAATGTTCTTTATTTAATATTTTTTAAAGGGTTATATAATGATAAAATACTCTTCATTATTATTTCCTTTTAGCTAATAAAACTCGGATGTGAAATTACTATTCTAATTCTGTGAAGAAATCCTTGGAAATATCATTTAGTGTTATGCACTTATGCCTACACCCTATAAAAAAATTGGGATACGTTTTTTATAAAGTTTTTATACGATTTTTTTCCTTAGAAATAACGTATCATAATAGGATACGGAAAAATGCACAATTCCGTATCACTAAAAATATGGTTTGGATACGGAATTTGCACGGAATTCATATGGAATTTACATGATTTGATCACTGATTTTATCACGAAATTTATACGATTTGGTCACTGAATTTACTATTTGTATTACA